GAGGCCCCCAAGAGGCCCCAAAAAGGCCCCCAAGATGCCCCCAAGACGGCCCCCAAAAACGGCCCCCAAGAGGCTTCAGAATTGCTTCTAAGAGGCCTACGAGAGACCGACCACGACATCCCAAGGCTCCATTACGAACGATGATGTGGGCAGCTTCGAACGCCAGAGCTCCCAGTACGAACGCTGGCGTCCAGAGCTTTGACGACAAACACTGCTATGAGCAAAAACGGCGGTTCCCGTTCTTGTGCGGTCAGGTTTTTGAAAAATGGCCGTTTCTCTCGAGACATCCTCCAAAAATCGGCCCAAGAGGGGACTCCGCATCGACGTCGCGCTCGAATCGCTCTTGGAGTGTTTTCCAACGGCCCAAGGGAGGCCCAAAAGACGCCCCGGAGAGCCCCAGGAGCGCCCAAGAGCGCCCCAAGAAGACCCCAAGAGACCCCCAAGAGCGCTCTAGGAGCCACCCAGACAGCTCACAAGGATTCCAAGACGGCCCAAAAAGGGCCAAGAAGGCCCCAAGAGACTCCCGGGAGCGTCCCAGGAGGCCCCCAGCGCCGAGACGGCCTAAGAAAGCTCCCACAGAACCCCACGACGCGCCCAGCCAGCCCAAGAAGACCCCAGAAGCCCATAAGAGGACCCAAGGGGCCCCCAAGAAGCCCCCAACAGGCCCCAAGAGAACCCCGCGCGGCGCCAGGAGCAACGTCTTTCTCCAATTGCCTCGTACTGTCCTCTGTCGTCGTCGTCGTCGTCGTCGTCATCATCGCCCTCCGCATTCCTCCTCGTACTCGCCCTCGTTCTCTTCGTCCTCGTCCTTGTGCTTCTCTTCCTCCTCGTTGTCCTCATGCTCGTCCTCGCTATCCTCACGTTCGCCACGTCGTCCTCGTCATCGACTCCTCGTTGTCCTCGCCTTCATTTTCTTCTTCGCCCAATACATCCATTTGACTACAGCGGCGCTTCCCGTTCTTGTCCGATCAGGTTTTCATTGCGGGAAGTGCCCCATTAAATTAGCCTGACGAAAGACCCAACCATACGTAGTTGTGAATACCGCAATTGTGGATATATTCTTCGGTGGCGCCCCCGGGCCACGAAACGAGTGAGGGGTGTGCCGAAATGGGGGGGTAGAACCGCATGCGAGCGCAGCCACTGGGGCGCACGGTGGAGCTCCCTATGGAGCCACGACACGTGTGAGGGGTGGTGAGGGGTGTGCCAGAATGGGGGGTGGAACCGCATGCGGGCGCAGCCACTGGGGCCTTCGGTGGAGCTCCCTATGGGGCCACGAAACGTGTGAGGGGTGTGCCAGAATGGGGGGTGGAACCGCATGCGGGCGCAGCCACTGGGGCCTTCGGTGGAGCTCCCTATGGGGCCACGAAACGTGTGAGGGGTGTGCCAGAATGGGGGGTGGAACCGCATGCGGGCGCAGCCACTGGGGCCTTCGGTGGAGCTCCCTATGGGGCCACGAAACGTGTGAGGGGTGTGCCAGAATGGGGGGTGGAACCGCATGCGGGCGCAGCCACTGGGGCCTTCGGTGGAGCTCCCTATGGGGCCACGAAACGTGTGAGGGGTGTGCCAGAATGGGGGGTGGAACCGCATGCGGGCGCAGCCACTGGGGCCTTCGGTGGAGCTCCCTATGGGGCCACGAAACGTGTGAGGGGTGTGCCAGAATGGGGGGTGGAACCGCATGCGGGCGCAGCCACTGGGGCCTTCGGTGGAGCTCCCTATGGGGCCACGAAACGTGTGAGGGGTGTGCCAGAATGGGGGGTGGAACCGCATGCGGGCGCAGCCACTGGGGCCTTCGGTGGAGCTCCCTATGGGGCCACGAAACGTGTGAGGGGTGTGCCAGAATGGGGGGTGGAACCGCATGCGGGCGCAGCCACTGGGGCCTTCGGTGGAGCTCCCTATGGGGCCACGAAACGTGTGAGGGGTGTGCCAGAATGGGGGGTGGAACCGCATGCGGGCGCAGCCACTGGGGCCTTCGGTGGAGCTCCCTATGGGGCCACGAAACGTGTGAGGGGTGTGCCAGAATGGGGGGTGGAACCGCATGCGGGCGCAGCCACTGGGGCCTTCGGTGGAGCTCCCTATGGGGCCACGAAACGTGTGAGGGGTGTGCCAGAATGGGGGTGGAACCGCATGCGGGCGCAGCCACTGGGGCCTTCGGTGGAGCTCCCTATGGGGCCACGAAACGTGTGAGGGGTGTGCCAGAATGGGGGGTGGAACCGCATGCGGGCGCAGCCACTGGGGCCTTCGGTGGAGCTCCCTATGGGGCCACGAAACGTGTGAGGGGTGTGCCAGAATGGGGGGTGGAACCGCATGCGGGCGCAGCCACTGGGGCCTTCGGTGGAGCTCCCTATGGGGCCACGAAACGTGTGAGGGGTGTGCCAGAATGGGGGGTGGAACCGCATGCGGGCGCAGCCACTGGGGCGTTCGGCGGAGCTCCCTATGGGGCCACGAAACGTGTGAGGGGTGTGCCAGAATGGGGGGTGGAACCGCATGCGGGCGCAGCCAGTGGGGCCTTCGGTGGAGCTCCCTATGGGGCCACGAAACGTGTGAGGGGTGTGCCAGAATGGGTGTGGGAGGGGGAGGAGGGGGGAGGAGGAAGGAAGGAGGAACGCGGGGACCGTCTCTTCAAAACGAGGACCCAACAACACAGGTTGGTTGGGAAAAACAATCGTTTGAGACCAATAGGGTCACCAAGACCCTCTCATGAGTCAACGCCCTCCGTCATCGTCGTCGTCGTCCGTCGTCATCGTCCTCCGCATTCCTCCTCGTACTCGCCATCTTTCTCTTCGTCCTCGTCCTAGTGCTTCTCTTCCTCCTCGTTGTCCTTTTGCTCCTCCTCGCTATCCTAACGTTCTCCACGTCGTCCTCGTCATCGCCTCCTCGTCGCCGTCGCCTTCCTTTTCTTCTTTGCCCACTGAAGTCCATTGGACTAAAGCGGCGCTTTCCGTTCTTGTCCGATCGGGTGTTCATTGCGGGAAGTGCCCCATTGAAACACAATCGCTCGAGATTATTCAATCGTGCCGAAAGATTGCTCAGACTTCAACGCCACGAACGTAATTCGATTGCTTCGCGCCCTGAAAATCCTACATCGCACCAGCACGCCATTCCTATGACTTCAACCTTACGAATCGTCGAAACTGCTGCAACGTTTTGAAACGAATGCGCGCGGCGCTGAAGCGAGAACCGCATTTTGGCAAGGACCCACTTTCCATCCGTGAAATTGCTGCTGACGAGAGCCACAGTTCGAAAAGGACCCGCCCTCAATGTTTGTAATTGCTGCAGTCTTTGCAGATGAGTGTGCGCGGCGCCAAACCGAGAACCACACATTACAAAGCAACAGCCCTCCATCCGTGGAATTGCTGCGTTTCTGTGAGGACGAATGCGCGCGGCGATGGGGCGAGAGCCACAGTTGGAAAACCACCCACCATGGACCAGTTGGAGCCACCTTCCATCCATATGACACTTGTGCAGACGTCAGCTTTCGGAACCATAGGTGGTGGCGACATCTCAGGCGAACTGCCCGGCCCGCCCTGCGGACGCGACGGGGGTGCCACAGGGAGAAGTCGTGCATACGGAAAACGGATGGAGGAGGAGGAGAACGAGATGGCCCCTTCCCCCCCCGCTTCGCACATCGCGGACCTCGTCGGCGTGGGGGTCGACTGGTTCGTTTGAGGCCCGTTGGACGGGCCTGGCGGCGGTGGGGTGACTCATCGGTCCGCCAGCTGCGTGCGCAGGAGGCTGACGAGGAGGACCGGTGTAAACCCACGACGCATCAAGGATGCTGCAATAGCCCCCCCTCCAAGTTCACTCGTCACAGGTCACTATAAGAGAATGGACGCTCTTTGTGGGAAGCGGCCCATTAGAATACAACCGTCTGAAAATCCTCATTCGCGCCAAAACACCGTTCCACGGACGTCAACACCGCAGATCGACGTAAATGTTGCGTCCCGGCAATCCTAAACCATGCCAGAATACCAATCCTAGGATTTCAACGCCGCGAATCAGTAGTATTGTTGCGTCCTGACAACCTAAACCGCTCCAGAAGACCGTTTCCTGGATTTCGACCATAAGAACCCTTGGAATGGTTGCAAATTTAAAACACAAACGTGCGCGACTCGAACGCGACAGCCACATGTTGAAAAGGAGCCGCCCCTTGTAGTTGCTGCAAAGTTACCAGACGAATGTGCGCAGCGCTCATATGAGAGCCACCATTTGAAAACGATCCGCCCTCCATCCGCGAAGCTGCTGCAAATTTTGAAAATTGAACGCGCGCGGCGCTGAGTCGAAAGCCATATTCGGAAAACCGCCCGCCCTCCATCCAGGAACGCAAACGCTAAGCTTCAGGATCATACATGGCGAAAGGGTCTCCAGCGAAACGCCCGGCTCGCCCTACGGACCCGTCTGGGGGTGCGACCGGAAGGAGAAGGAGGAACAGGAATCAGGGCGCCAGAGACGAGGGCACAGCAAACGGGGGTACGGGGAACGCCGATTTCCACGTTCGGCTATGCCCCCGTTCAGGGGGCCCTGGGCGCCGTCGACGGGGGTGTAGCAAACGGGGGTAGATGGAAAAGCCTAAGCCCACGTTTAGTCAAACCCCCGTTTACGAAGCCCCGAAGGAAGAGAAGGAGGAGAAGGAAAGAGAGGGACGGGAAACGCTGACGGACGTGCGGCGCTCACGACGGAGTGGCGCTTCGGGGGGGAGGTGATCAGCCTGTTAGACCACCACCACAACCACAAGTTGGAGGGGGGAGGGAGGAGGAGGGCGAGGAGGAGGAGGAGGAGGAGGAGGAGGAGGAGGAGGAGGAGGAGGAGGAGGAGGAGGAGGGGGGAGGCCGCAGGGAGGGGGACGGAGGCGGGGGGCGGAGGAGGAAGAGGGGCGGGGGAGGCGGGCCCTGCCGCGCGGCCCGGCCCTTCGAGGGGAGGCGCGGGGCCGTGCCCTCGAGGGCTGGCTCGTCGTCGAGGAGGAGGCGGAGGAGGAGGAGGAGGAGGAGGAGGAGGGGGAGGAGGAAGAGGGGCTCTCCCGGTGCCGAGGGGCGGCGCGCCGAGGGGCGGTGCGGCGCGAGGGGGCGCAGGGCTCGCTTTTCCAGGGGAGCCGCTCCCCGCCGGGATGCTCCCGGCCAGGCTCGAGCTCGGGCTCGGGCTCGGGCTCGGCGCTGCGCCCGCAGAGCCGCCTCGCGGGGCAGCCGGGGCCGTCCTGGAGGCGCTGTGTGGGCTGGCTCGGGGTCCTCCTGGGCTGCTCCCGGGGGCCGCCTCGGAGGCCCCGCGGGCCGCCTCGGGGAGATCTGGGGGGGGCCTTTGGCGTCGTGCTGGGGCGGCGCTGGCTCGGGCTCGGGGCTTCGGGCTTCGGGCTGGGGCTCCGGTCTGGGCCTGGGCTCGAGCTTGGGCTCGTGCTCGCCCCCCCCCCCCCCCCCCCCCCCGCGGGCGGGCGCAGCGCGCGGGGCGCCGCGCGGCGCGGCCGCTGAGCGCGCGCCGGGCGAGCGGCAAAAGAGTGGCCGGCGAGGGGAGCCGGGCGGGCGCCGCCTCGGAGGCGGCCCCTCGCAGCGGCAGCGGGGCTGGCGAAGGCGGCGGCGTTCGGGAACGCTCTGGTCGAGGGTGGACAGAGCCCCCACCCTGACGCGTCGATTATTCCAAATCTCATGATAGTAGAGGGGGGGGGTCAAAAAAGTGTTTGACGGCCGGTCTGGGACCCCCCCCCAAGGCAACAAAAGGTCCAAAATCGAGACCCCCCACAAATGTGTTTGACGAAGCCCGTGAGACCCCCCCCAGAAGCAGACCCCCCCCATTGTTGTGAGATCCGGAGTAGTGAATTGTCCGTTTTCAGTTCTCGAGAGGGCGCCGCGGCCGTCATTTTCCAGGTTTGCGCCCGCCAGGTTTGGGCCCGAGGTCGTTTTCACTAAACCACGTTTTGCTAAAGGGGGTTCTGTCCATCCCCGATCTGAAAAGGCCGCGGCGCCCGAGACATCCTCCAGAGCCGGCGTATCTCAGAGTTTCTCGATTCATCGTCACCCGATATTTTTCTCGTGCTGGCTTCGTCTTATGAACCTCTGGAGGCCTGGTGTTGTAAAGGTCTACTACAGCAGGACACAGGGTTTGCAACACAGTGCCTCGTGCAATAGTCTACAGCACCATCATGGTTTCCAGCGTGTACACTAGAAGGTCGAGCGGACGAGATGCCATGCACAATAATCTGGGGTAACAAACACAACCACACACGCATACATACACACACGCATAGACCAAACAACATGTAAAAGGATTGCGATCGCATTCGTTTTGCACGGCTTCACGGTACCATTCATCGCGTATGGGTTTTCAGGCCAGTTCGGGATGCAAGGTTTTACGATCTTTAGGGTGTTTTAGGGCTTTACCAGGGTACCCCTTCCGCAAAGGTAAAGGTTTTTTGCGTCAGAGTGAGGGGGCCGAACGGTCATTCACTGTCCTTAGGTGCGTGGTTGAAGTGGGACTCCGCGATGCTGATTATTGTTGTTGCTTGGTTGTTTGTTTACTTGTTTGTTTGTTTGTTTGTTTGGTTGTGTTGTTGGTGTTGTTGATGTTGTTGTTAGTGGTATTGTTCCCAACCCTCCTTGGTTGGGTATTCGTTTTGAATAGAGCAGTGTGGTCGCGTCCTTCCTCCTCCCGCCTCCCGCCTCTTTCCTGCCTCTTTCTGTCTTGCCTGCGGGGGGCTGTGAAACTGTCGCCAGTTTCGAGGCCTGCTGGGGGGTCCAGCATAGAGGGTAATCGCGGCAGATCCAAATTAGACCTCGCCATTCCTGGGGGGCTGCGATCTGTGAAACTGTCGCCACTTTCGAGGCCTGCTGGGGGGCTCAGCATAGAGGGTAATCGCGGCAGATTCAAATTAGACCTCGCCATCCCTGGGGGGGGGGGGCTGCGATCTGTGAAACTGTCGCCACTTTCGAGGCCTGCTGGGGGGTCCAGCATAGAGGGTAATCGCGGCAGATCCAAATTAGACCTCGCCCTCCCTGGGGGGCTGCGATCTGTGAAACTGTCGCCACTTTCGAGGCCTGCTGGGGGGCCCAGCACAGTGAGGGCCACGCGCGGATTCAAATTAGACCTCGCCATCCCTGGGGGGCTGCGATCTGCGAAACTGCCGCCATTTTCGAGGCCTGCTGGGGGGCCCAGCACAGTGAGGGCCACGGGCAGATTCAAATGAGACCTCGCCGTCCCTGCGGGGCTGCGATCTGTGAACCTGTCGCCACTTTCGAGGCCTGCTGTGATCCCCGTTTTCGAAGTGGCTAGGAGTGCTCAGGAATTGTAAATCATCAGCTTTATCAAGCCCTTTTCCTGTAGCCAGTGTCCTGCGAGTCTCCCGAATTCCGTCTGCAGACATATGTAACCCTCGCTCCGTCATCGCCCCCTTATAAAGTATCCTAAACTATTTGCGCCCCGCTTTTGCGCAGGGGTTGGGTACGTCGCCAGGGTAATTGTTGGTGTTGCTGTTGTTATTGATGTTGGTGTTGTGTTGTTGTTGCTGGTGTTGGTGGTGTTGCTGCTGTTGTTGTTCGTGTTGTTGGTGGTGTTGGTGTTCGTGTTGTTGTTGCTGGTGTTGTTATTGCTGTTGCTGCTGTTGATGCTGCTGTTGTTGTTAGTGGTGTTGATATTGTTATTGTTGTTGGTGTTGTTGCTGTTGCTGCTGTTGTTGCTGTTGCTGATGCTGCTGTTGTTGTTGGTGTTGTTGTCGTCGTTGTTGTAATTGATGGTATTGTTGTTGGTGGTGTTGTTGATGTTGCTGCTGTTGCTGTTGTTGCTGCTGCTGTTCTTGTTGTTTGGCGTCGTCCCCCCCGCGACCCGGCCCGCGACCCACCCGCGACCCACCCCGCGACCGGCCCGCGACCTGCCCGCGACCTCGTGACCCACCCGCGACCCGGCCCGCTACCCACCCGCGACCCACCTGCGACCCACCCGCAACCCACCCGCGACCCACCCGCGACCCACCCGCGACCCACCCCGCGACCCACCCACATTGTTTTAACGAAAGATCGGCCCGTTGTACAATTTGTAAGAATTAGGCGCTTGCGGCTGGCTTCATCAGAGCCTCGCAGACTGCAGACGTCTCCGCAGCCCCCTCACAAACAAACAAAGAAACAAACAAACAAACAACAACAAGAAGAAAAATCCGTATCGCGGAATCCCACTTCAGCCACGCACCCAAGGACAATGAATGACCGTTCGGCCTCGTCACTCTGACAATCGAATGGCCTTAGGCCTATCCCGCCACCGTGCCTGGGTTTTGGGTCTGAGCCCTCTTGGATGATCATTGGGATCGGGCCTCTCGGGGGCCTTCTGGAGGCAGTTTTGGTGCTTCTGGGGGGCTGTTTGGGGGCCTCCTGGGGCCTCTTGGGGACCTATTGGGGCCTCGTGAGGGCTTCTTGGGGGCCTTTTGGGGCCTCCTGGTAGCTTCTTGGGGCCTCCAGGGCGAATCTTGGGGCGGAAGGCTCGAATTTTCGGTTCGCGCACCCCCTCTTGGGGCCGTCTTGGGATCCTCTTGGGCCGTCTTGAGCGCCTCTTGACCGTCTTGGGGCCTTCTTGGGGGCCTCTGGGGCCGTCTTGGGGCGGTCTAGGGGGCCTCGTCTGACGCCATGGAGCTTCGGGCCCTCTAGGGAAGCCTCTTGGTGCGTCTGGAAGGCTTCTTGGGCCGTCTTGGGGCATCTTGGGCGTATTGGACCGATCGTGCGGCGATTCGGGGCACCCCTGGACCGTCTGGGCGGCCTCTTGGGCCCCTCTTGGTCCCCAAAAAATCATGCGACAACACGCGGGGAGCCCCAAGAGATTTGTGAATTCGGGATCCGGGCACGGCTCCAGAGCAATATTTCACATGTCCCGCACGGTCCCGACGCAATCTGCACGCACTGCATTCGCCGTTCAATTGGGGAGCGTTCAATGTTGATTGAACGGTTGGCGCGGTGATAAAAAAGACAAAGCACACACAGCCACGGCACGAGATCGGTGTCGCGTTGTACACATCCTTCTCCATTCCCTCCCAAGCGGGCCAGGCAGCAGCGGTTGGGATCGATTGCGATGGCAAGGGGGAGGAGGAAGAGGAGGAGGAGGAGGGGGAGGAGGCACAGTGCAAACCCAAGAGTCATCAACAATATTGTAGTAAATCCTCCCTCCAAGCTCCCTCTTCACAGGCCCCTACAACGGTTCATTACCATTGATGGAACTGCCTCGTTGGAAGACACCCGTTTGAAGATCCTGAAGCATGCCAGAACATTGTTCTCGGGATTCCAGCGCCACGGATCAACCTGACTGTTGCGTCTTGACGATCTTGAATCGTGCCAAAACGCCATTCTTAGAATTACAACAAGCTGTTGCACCCGGTTAATATTGAATCCTTCCAAAACACCATTGCTGGTATGTTGATGATGGGCACCCGCGAAACTCTTGCAAATGTTTAGAAAGAATGGGCGCAACGCTAAGGCGAGAGCCACATGTTGAAAAGGAATCGCCCTCAGTCCGTGAAACCCTTGCAAATGTTTAAAAACCAATGTGCGCCGCGCTAAGGCGAGATACACATTTTGAAAACGGCGCGCCCTCAATCCGTGAAACTCTTGTAATTGTTAGAACGACTGCGCGCCGCGCTAAGGCGGGAGTCACATTTTGAAAGCCACCCGCCCTCAATCCGTGAAATTCTTAATTTGTTGTTAAACGAATGTGCACCGCGCTGAGGCGAGAGCCACATTTTGCAAACCACCCGCCTTCATTCCGCGAAACTCTTGTAAATTTTTACGTAAAACTAATGTGCGCCGAGCTCAGACAAGAGCGCCACATGTTTAAAACGACCCGCCCTCAATCTGTGAAACTGTTGACACTGTCCAAGCTTCAGACTCATAAATGGTGAGGCAGCCTCAGGCGAATCGTCCAGCCAGCACTAAAAACTGTCCTCGGGGTGCGACAGGGAGAGGTTATGTATGAGGAAAAGGAATGGAGGAGAAGGAAGGAGGAGGAGAACAGGAGGAGAAGAGGAGGAGGAGGAGGGGGAGGAGGAGGAGGGGGAGGAGGAGGAGGAGGAGGAGGAGGAGGAGGAGGAGAAAGGAGGAGGAGGAGGAGGGGGAGGAGGCGGAGGAGGAGGAGGAGGAGGCGGAGGAGGAGGGGGAGGCGAAGGAGAAGGAGGAGGAGGAGGAGGAGGAGGAGGAGGAGAGGGAGGAGGAGGAGGAGAAGGAGAAAGAGGAGGAGAAGGAGGACCAGAGTAAACCCAAGACCCAATCAAACGATGTTGTAATTTACCCTCCCTCCGATTTCCCTCTTCACAGGTCCCTACAAGGATTTATTTTCACTGCGGGAAGTGCCCCGCTGGAAGACAACCGTTTGATATTCGGGAACCGTGCCAAAACACCATTATTGGGACTCACGCCGCGAATCAACGTTACTACCACTGTTGCGCCTTGACAATCCCACATCGTGCCCGAGT